GCAAGTTCTGCAAGCTACTCTCAGTAAGTTCTGCAAGCTACTCTCAGTAAGTTCTGCAAGCTACTTTAATTGTGCTCTTCACACCATTTACATCATCTAGCCCTGCACATTAGATCCAGTTGTGCACACTGCTTTTATCAATGCTAACGTTTACAGTCCGGAGAGGAAAACTCTTGGAGGACTTTTACAACTCTACAGCACAAGGTACTCCAGAAGACCATTTACCAGGCTCGAAATCCAGTCCAAAGCCGACATCATTTATACTGCTGTCCGTGTGGAACCTCATGAATACCGACCCCATCCACAGCATGTTGGTGGGAGCCTGAGTACCGCAGTAGTTGCCAATCATGTCTCCGGTGTCATCAGTACCTGCCCAGATCTGAAGACCGTCAAAGACGCAGTTGGAAGAAGCTGAGCCGGGAAGAAAAATCAGATAAGGTATTCAGTTATGAGCACGACGAATGCTGGAAAACTAATTGAACACATTAATTCTAGTGCTTCAATTAATTTCTAAGTGATAACACAAATGCCCCATGAAATTAAAACTGGTCAAAAACCCCAAAGTTTCCACAAGACGAAAGTATGAAAAAATTATGCAATAGATTGATGTACTTGAAAGCAGAAACAATGATTTGCTCATTCCAAAACTAACATAACCTGGCATTTCAGGAACTTGCCGGGGAAACACCTTATCCACATTGCCCCACATATACTTTATTCAGTTTTCCCCCTACTTTCAATTGCGAAGAGGTCGCTGAACATAAGTCCCAGACTCTGTTGTGGGTCCCAGTTGATGACGTATTCGCAGGTGATACTGTTGGGGTAGTTACGGTCGGGGTAACCCGGCGACACGATGCGGCCATTGGTCACACCGGTGAATGTGGCTCCACAGCCTGAGAGAAATTGGGAATCATGTTATGACCGTTAATTAAATGCGAATTGATGTAATCCACACACCCAAAAAGATGTCAGTTCCTAAAGGCTGGTTCACATTTCAGGTGAGTGCAGAACTGAGTGAACTGGAGGGAATCTGTTGGCAGAGAAATCCCTTTGAAATGTGTTCAGCTTTTGTGCATTCGTAGCCCAAACATTTGATCTAATGTCACAAATCTCGCAGGTTGATAACAAGATGCCCTATAGTCTGGCCCAGGCATGCAACTAGGACTTTGAAAAAACAAGGAAAGTCTTATCTTTGCAAGACTTTAGACAGTGTTTTTCAATTTTCAGTGGCATGAGTGTGAAATGAAAAACAAGGAAATCAGCTGATCTGAGGAAAGGTTGAATGCCTGTTTAAACATGGGATGCGTAGCCCACCAGGGCAAGGTTTTACATTCTGGGGAATGTATTGATAAGTATTCATGGAAAGCATTTCCTTGATAAGGGTTAGTTCAGTTATTGGGCAGACGCTTCACTATGAGAAAGAGGGATAAAATTATACACTGGGAGCTGTAAACCATTGAAAAAATTCCAAGTTCAAAAGGTTTGATCTCCAAATGCACAGAACTTCCCACTGAAAGAACTGTCTGCTGAAATGGGGAAAACATTGTCAACTGTAAAGGGTTCAAACAACACTGACCAATGCAGTGACACTGTTACGCATACGGAAATTGAGTCGCTATAAGTCTATTTTTGGCCTCAAAAGAGTCTGACAGCCAAATTTGGAGAGGCTCTTCTGACCTGAGCTTCACCCAAGAACCCTTCAAAACACCTTTTGCCACTGTCCAGATTATGGACTCACCCGTGGACCAGGCAGCCTGGAAGCCTGTGCCTTGGTTGCTGCCATCACTGCGGAACTTGACCGCGATGACATTCAGGGAGGAGCTGACTGGTGCGGGCACTGTGGTGCCTGAGAAAGTGCCCAAGACGGTGTCAGTGTCACTGTCTCCATCATACACCTGAGATAAGGCCATCAAAAAAGTCTTGACTTTGAGCTGGATCAATTTGTCTTGCCATCCCGTGCAAAACAAAGGCAATAAAAATTCCAGGAAAAAAAGTCTGGCCAACAGATCCCTTCGACAGGCTGAATCTCTATGGATATTGTCCAAACTTATCTTGGCAGTATGCTCATTTTGTACACTGGATTATCAAAAGTTCAAATATAAACGTATATGCTTCAATTCAACTTGGAACAAATGTGTGGCTAGCTCCCTACTTGTCTTCAAAAACAGGAATTTAGAACTTGTTCCGAAGAGATTGGACTGGGGGGAGGGATGTTCTCAATGCCTGACGCAGAAGACACTTGAAGACCAATTGGTCGTAATATAAAGAGTTCTTCAACTCATCAGAGAAACAAGACACTTCCTGCTGCGTGTGTCATTTCTGAGGGCAACAGCAAATGCCATGCTGGTCAGCTTGTATAACACAGCACTCCACCAACAAGTACAGAATCTCCACAAGACATGCTCTCAAAAAATGAGGATATGATTCATAAAAAATAAGTGATATCTCAAAGTCACTGACTGGCATTTTCTTATAGTCGGTCTATGAGCTGCAAGGAAGAGGCTTTTTTGGATGCATTCAACGAAGGCAACTGCACTTTTTTAAAGACCAGTGGTCCAATACTGTTTTGGCAACCGCGCCTTGAATTACATGGCCAGGTCAACCGAGGAGGCTTGATTTACCGTGACACTATCGCCGGATGCCACATTGAAGGTGTTGAAGGCAACCTGGACGTTATAGCCACTCTCCACCATCAGGACCCAGAAGCATTCCTCGTTGGCCACATAGGCGTTAGGATAGTTGGTGGTCTGGAAGGTGCCAGTGTTTCCATGGTAGGTACCCCCACAGCCTTAGGAGACATTGAAAATGTTCCAAAAACACATTGTTCTTATGAGAAATTATGGCACTTCTTGATTTTTGTTGAACATAAAATGGAATGGCATATTCAGGGAGGACATATTCTTGAAAAGTCTTGGAGTATCATACTTCAAACTCTAGCAATGTTGCATACTTTTAAGACATTTCAAGCCTAAGAAGACCTAGAGTGATCCAAATATACTCGAATAGGATTTTTCAGATTTCCTGCATGTTAAACACCAAGTGTGTTGTGTAAGGTTAAATTAAGGTGAACATCTTGGACGACAAAGTCAGGGCTTTTACGGTCGGCTGTTCCTTTTCAATATTTCAGCAGTCATTAAAAAGTCCTTAAAATAAGTACCACCCAATACTTAAAAACGTTTTTGTCATTTCTTCATCGGAACTGGGAAGGCAAATCCCAAAGTTTCTCAAAGCTAATACTCGCAAAATGAAAGTAGTGGATTCTCTAATAAACCCAAGGAACTGAGTATTAAAACAGCAATCCCTGCAATGAAAACATGATAAAATCATTGATTTCCAGTTCGCTCAATACAACTTGCGCGGCCTAACATAAATGCTTAAGTTTATGCCATAATATGTTGCATATGTTGAGGGCTTATGTGGCATGTAACTTTCCTAAAATGTGCCATAATTTGTTGCAAAACTTATGTGGCGTAGACAAGAGTTACGCGTACGTTTTGTGAAATTGGCTGCAAATGTTTGACACCCTTACCTCTGGTGGCCGTGGTCCACTCCAGGCGGAATCCGCTGGCTGAAGCACTGGCATCTGTCATGAAGACCATGAACACCTCATTGCTGGCAGTGGTGATGGACGCTGGAGCGGTGCTGCCACACCATGGGTCCTCCCCAGAGAGCTGCGGGGACTCCACCGTGCCACCGTTGCGGGCTGAGAGGTAGTCGTACTGGCACCGAGAATGTGATTCGATGTCGAATGCAGTGAAAGTCAGCTGTGGCCCAGAATACAGAGAGTACAGATATTGAAAGCTGAAGTCCGAAGCAAACCAACGAGGAAAAACTGACCGACAAGTTGTTTCATTGAGCATTTCTTAATATCTTTTTGATATTCTGTGACCAGGGTGATAAGGGTATGTACTGCTACATCGTTAACCTTTACACTTTCCAGGGAAAAGTGTGACCTGTACTGGCAGCATCTTTGAACACAACTTGATCACACCAGCTTGTGAACGTAACACGTGCACAAATCAATCAGTGCCAAAGAAGAATTTTTTTGGGGTGGAGACACAAATTCTGGGCTAGAACTGAGAAATAAAATGGAGAAAAAAAACACCTTGAAAACACAACAAAATATGGCAGTCAAATGGAGAAAACCAAAATCCAATTTCAGAATTTACACCAATCATCAGATTTCACAGACTGTGGTACCACATGCAAACCTGGATTGGTTTTGGCCAGCTTAACTAATGGGGTTCAAGGAGGGAAGAGACCCATCTAAGATAAGTCTGCACTTACCGTGACAGTGGTACCCGGAGGAGCCTGGATGAGCCAGGCACAGTGGTCATTATGGTCATATTGGTCAGGGTAGTTAGGACTGGTTATGACGCCACTAGTACCGGTGACTAGGCCTCCGCACTCTGCCAACAAAGAACAATGACAAGACTCATAGACTATTACGAAACATGTTATGGGAATGGGTGGGGGCAAACAAGTTGAATGCAAGATCCTTGGGGCTGGTACGAAGGTTAGTTGTTTGCAGGTTAACATGCTCACTTAAGCACTAGCTGCTTCATTTGAATTTAAAAAGACCTTAAGTCTGTAATGGATAATTTCTGAACTGCTCAGTGGCAGCAAACATTAGAATCTTTTTGTACTGTCTGCATAATTTGAAGCACATACAAGTTAGTTCAAATGAAATGCAAATAATGAGAACAGACTTTTATGATTGACGCCACCAAGCATCTGAAAAGCCTGCCAATGCAAGGTTTACTTCTTGCCAGAATTTTCTCCTGACATGTTTCAGGAAGGTCAAGGCTTATGTTTTTTTCCTCTTTGCAAACACTGCAGATGTCCCACACATAATTCCCACCTACCGGAAGCCGAGTAGAGGATCTGGAACCCTCTGCCGATAATGCTGCTGTCTGTGGTGAAACGCACAAAGGCGGAGGGCTGCGGGATGGCAACAGGATCGGGTGGTGAGGAGCCACAGAAGGATCCGACCAACGGCGAGTTGGTGTCAACTCCTGAAAACAGAGAGATAGAGAGAGAAACGTGACTTGAGGCAAGTAGCAGTGATAATTGGATTTTTGGTAAATTTCGCAAGGCAGACGAGCTGTTACTGCGGGAAACCTCACAACACATGCCATGCACCACGGAATATAGCCAACTGAATCCCACAAGACTTGTCTTGTTGGCCATCTTTGTTCAGTAACTTTGTTTTAGTTTGTGCAGTAGAAAGAGCAAAACAGAATGAGCAAGTGACTAATCACTCAATGTGACATTCTTATGAAAATTATGCACTGTTTGGGTGAAAAAAATTGTGGGTTCCTATCAATTTGAACAAGGCAAAATTCTTGTAAAGGCCTTCAAGTCACAAGCTAAAATAACCTGCAGATCATTTCATTTTGGGTCACATGAGGCAAATGGGGGTGACTGGAAGAAAACATAACCACCCTTCCTCCAAAACAAACAAAAATCTCACCTGCATATATTTCCAGGACGTCAAAACTACAGCTGGGGTTTCCCTCGATGTCAAAGGCTGCATCGAAGCTCAGGTAGAGGGAGGTGTTGACTGTGGCTTGGTTGGCCAGCAGCCACTGGCAGTTCAGGTTGTTGGTGTAGTTGAGGGCCGGGTAGCCAACGCTTGAGAAGGAGCCTGTGCTGCCTGGATTCAGGTTGATGAGGGCTCCGCATACTGGAGAAGTTAGGACGAGAATAGTTCCGTGTGTGAATTTTGCGTTGTGAAGATGTTTTGTAAAGGGAGTTTCGCCCATGTCTATTTGTAACATTATTACACTTGTCCGTTGTCACTTGGCGTTGTCCGAGTGCTAATGACAACATTCACAAGCTTACTTGCTGCTGCTGATTAACTCAAATCGGCTAGCTAACCCTGGCTAGCTCGGTAGTCAAGTGGCAAGACATCCACACAAGGAAGAGTGGGGTTGCGGGTTGAATCCCACCCAAGTAACCTTGTGAATTTCTTCATAAGCCCTTGGGTAATACCGAGCATACAGCATTACAAACATAAATCAGTTGAGGGGCAAAACTCTGCAAATTTAAAAGCTAAGAATGGTCCATCAGTTTCATTGTCAAGGGAAAATTTGTGGGGAATTCTTTAAAACTTTCCCTGCAAGATTATTTCAAAGTGAAAATTTGACTTTTAGAAAAAGACACGTTACCACAGTGAAAGTTTTAGTTGGCCTTCACAATGCACGCCCTCCTAACTGGTAGCAACTGGTACTTCAGATAAAAACGAGGTCACTCCCAACTGCACAAGATTTGGTACAACGTCTTTCAATTTATAGAGGCATAAACGAGATGTAAAATAAAGATGACAAAATCAGGTGATACAAGGAAATGCCAGTCTGGTCTAAATGACTATTGCAGTGGCGTAGCCAGGTCAATTTGATTGGTGGATAGGGAAGCAGACATGAAAACAAATGCACTACGCATCCCTGATGAAAGGCAGACAAACCCAGTCTGCCATCAAAAGCAACAGAGTGGGGTTTAACACCACCTCCAATGAAGAGGTCCATCAAAGTGGACAGCGCCAGCCAATAGTTGGTGCTGTTCCTGCATCCACAGATATCTGCACAATGTTTGTCAAACTACTCTCATGAAACAAAACGGCACTTGTTTAACAAGCAGCACTTTTAACAACCCCCCAGTTTCCACCCAAGATCCTATAGCACCACATAGAGGTGCAAGATGGGGAACTCAGCCCAAAAAGGTGTAATCACCATGGGCGTTATTCCGGCAAGCAATATGCCTGCACAATGCATGTTTAATGCACAGGGGCAGGTGCACCAGGTGTGCGTGCCTGGCGCGGCGGCCGCACCAGTTCATTAACGTGCACTGAGCAGGCGTACTGCTTGCTTGAATGGTGCCCATGGGGATTACAATGTTTTTCGCATATTTACAGAGAAGTTCTCCATTGTGCACTGCAACGCTGCGCTATACGATCTTTGGTTTCCACACTGCTGTATTGATGGCTGACTTCCAACAGGAATAGAGTTAGCAGGGTCCTGATCAGATTCTCACCCGAAGGATCCTGGGAGTCGTATCGTGCAGAGAAGCCTCTAAATGCTACACTGCCATCAGTGAAGAAGACCACACGCATGGTGTTGCTGGTGGAGACCAGAGCCTGAGGGGGGGTGTTGCCACAGAATCGGCCCAAGCTAGGGGCGTCGTCCTCCAAACCGTTGAACACCTTAGGAATATAGAAGGGGGAGGGGCATTAGGATGCAACAAGGGTAGGGAAAGAGGAGCACTTCTCCAAAGCAACCAACTGGGACTGATTTCCGATGGCTGGCTCCATGTAGAACTGGAAGGGTGATTGGAAAGTGTCGTAGTCAAGCCTCTGTAAGTCCAGTCTTGTGGCTGGTCTCGTGCAAGGACTTGTGGCTGGTCTTGTGAAGGCACTTGTGATTGCCAGGTCTTGTGGAAAACCACATGACACAGTGTCGCCATGACAGAAATGTGGTAACAAGACATACGTGGTTTGGCTAAAAAAGGATTTAAAAAGTGCTGAGGGTGGGATAAACAGGCATCTGTTTACATTTGTTTAAATTTACTTATTTAGGGCAGTCAAGAGGAAGATTAAAGCCCCAAACCCCCAGATCTACAGGTGCATTTATAGTAACTTTGGTTCCAAATATTTGCATGTAAAGCCTGTGCTCCCCTGGGGGGGGGGCATTTAAATCAGGGTAGCTAACATACTGGTAAATGCTGTGGACATGTTTTAAACAGCAAAATTAACCATTTCAAAGAAACCACACAGCACTTGTAACAAAGTTACACATTATACAAAGATCAAATACCTCCACATAGTCAAACGGGCAGGCCTGGCCACCGCTTTCCAGCTCAAAGTCATCAAAGGAGAGCGTGACGACCTGTCCCACCGCGACAGTGATGCGCCACTCGCAGACGCGTGAGTGAGAGTACTGCTGGGGATAATCGGGGGACGTGAAGGTACCTGTCGCTGTGGCAAAGTCACCGCCACACACTGAAACACGATGGCAAAGGTTAATATCACTTTTAAAAGTTATTTTCTGTTTTCAAATCTGCCAGGCAAACATGTTAATATTTGAAAGCCGCCAATCAAAAACACCCTTGTTGAAACTGTGTGAACACTGCAGTCCACCAAATGCCGCGTGAGAAAAAATGGATAAAAAGATTTCCTCTTTTAAACAAAACGGGCTACGACAGTGCTTAATTTTTGAAACTCTTTCCAATAGATTGTAAGGAAAAGCTGAAAAGCTGTTTCAGCCTTCTTCAGGCAAGACACTGTGCCCAGGTGAGCTTTTCTGCTCAATAAAGCTGAGCTCTGATCTTGTTCAATTCTGTTTTCCTTTTAATTCTTACCCTCTGAACTAGACTGGAAGCTGAGGCTGAACCCAGTGGCAACACTCGCACCGTCCGTGGTGAAGTGAACCAAGGCATAGTTGCTGGACGTGTCAAAGCTCGAAGGAGCGACGTTACCACAGACCCGTGCCAGCTCAAATGCTGACAAGAAAGGGAAAACGAGTAAATTTATCCTGTTTTCTGGGGCAACCAGCCTTGTAACGAGCCCATTATTAGCCAGTCACACATGTCCCAGCTGTTCAAATGAACTGACACAATGACATTCTTTTGCCGCAGTTGATTTCCTTTCTCTTGATTCGACTTGTGACCAACTTGTGACTTGTCTCATTCATTTGAATAACACAACACACAACAGAGAGGGAGAGTCCTGTCAGAGGGGTTTCCCTATAGTTCTAAATTTGTGCTAGTGATTCGACATCCTAGAGCACTTTATTCTTGTAGAAAACTTGATGTTCTTACGAAGTTGCCATCCCTTTTACAATCAAATATGGATGGAACAAAATTGATCCGTTGCTTTTGGCAATAAAAATGGAGATTGATTTCAAATTTCCAAACAGATGCCACTCTTTGGTCCTAATCCAGTTATGTCTGCCACACTGATGCACATGATGAACAACGTATGGGAAACGCTGCTAATGTGACGGTAACTTTCGGGCCCCCTAAACTGTGTTTTGTCCTGGCTTCCATTGCCAAACTTCCATAAAAAAAACATAATGATAGAAGCACAGAATGCTAGTTTAATCATAATCACGGGCACGTCATCATGGGAAGAAAATTCCCTTTTTGAATTGATATGTGCACAAAAAATACGTTAATTTTTCATGTTTCACTGGCCTAAAATTCCTTTTCTTTGGAGATTCATTGTGTAAGAGCATGGTGATAAACTTTTTGATATCCTCAACTCAAAAGGGATGTTACACAGGTTTCATGTGAAGAAGAGGGGAACAAAGTTGAAGAAAAAGTGTGGAGCCTTTAACGTTTACCTGCCGGGTTTGGTGAGGGGAAAAGGGTGCAGACTAAACTGGGAAGGAGGGGAACAATACCTGAGGAATTCCTGCCATCGTTGACCACCAGCACGTCACCGACGCCCGAGCAGTCGGCCGCATTGTTGTCAATGTTGAAGTTGCTGTCAAATGTGAAGGTCATGTAGTGGCCGTCTGGGGCACGGATGGTCCAGATGCAGTCCAGGTTGTTGCTGTAGGTGCCCGGGAAGCCCGGTGAGGTGATGGTGCCACTGGTGCCCGAGATGGTACCTCCACAAGAGGCTGCCGGGCAAAAGGGAGGGGAACGTACACCAAAGAGATTGGTGATTAGCTGAGCCTACGTTTTGCTGAGGCCACAGTAATTGCGACCAGAAGGGATGGAAAAGAGTCCCTCGAACTCCTACTCAATGCAAAAGCAAACATGAATGTGACTTTGTGATGTCTGATCAAATATTTCAACTACAAATATGCACAGGTTTAGTTTAATACTTTTCAACTCTGGGGAGTTTCACTTTGAATGTCTTGCAATGTTAAATTCATCAGTCTTTTGCCTTCGCCTTCAGTATTAACTGGCCTCAAGAGTGGCTCTATCACAATAGGGCACATTTTAGGATTTTGACCAGTAAATATTGAGGGCACGAAAGTCTGTAGATGTCATAAGGCCTCAAGTGAGTGTGTGGTCAATGGTTCCACTGAGCAAAAATTTAAAAAGCCTCAGCCAAAGCTGGCCTCCAAGCTTTGCTAATCCGAGACCGATAATGTGAAGCATCAACAAATGATGCGCAGAATGGCAAGAAGGGGGAGGGAAATGGTGCATTACGTGTCTTCTGCCATGTACTCCACAGTGACTGCTGAGCTTTGCACAGGGTCTACAAAACCACAAAAAACTACCACTTGGCTTCTTGCTCTTAACTTTCTGTTGTCTACAGCCAAATAAACTGTGACAAAAAAGACCGAAAATCAAACTCGGCCCAACTGTCCCATAAGCCCATGCATGATCATATCTACAACCCCCCAAAAAACGTTCCTCACCGATTTGGGCAGTCAGTTTAAAGCCGGTATGTGCCACACTGGTGTCAGTCCGGAACCTCAGGTAGGCTGCGTTGCCCGTTGTGGCTACTGGAGCTGGGGCGGTGCTACCACAGTAACGACCAATCTGACTGGCTGACTGACTGGATCCATCCAGGATCTCCAAGTAGTCGTAGACACAGCTGAGCAGTTTGAAACACAAGGGAAAAAAATTAGAAGACTGCAAGACTGAAATGTAGCACATTCCAGGTCAACAGCAATTTCCAGTGCCTCAGTTACAATTCTGGCGAACCTCCATAGCCTAATGTTACTAAGGAGAGTGCAGATAACCAAAGTAGCTGATTTGACACACCTTTTACTTTTCTCATCAACTTGCACTGGAACTGCATACAGACTAGGACAGTGCCCAGCCTGCTCCAAACCTGTCCAGTGGCCAAGTAAGTTGACTTGTCACAGTTGCACTGCCATTGATAACATTTCACAATGCTCTAGCTCACATGACAGATTGGTGCTCGGGTGTGCGAAACTCGTGACAAAATCTCCTATTTGTCGGATCCAGAGAAGAACTCTGGACATACTGCATAGCAATGAGCGCTGTCTTTCTCTTTTTTTTTCTGCGATGCCTAAATCCTTCTTCTTCCCTGTTCTGTCATGGTGCAAGCCTACTTTCAGTGCCTCAGCTAACCATGAAACTGCACGCACAAACCACTTGTTCTCTTAAAGCTTCACAGGCTCCCCCCTTGGAGAACAGATTTCTTAGCTATGTGATGCACGCAAGAGCACAAGCCCAGTTAAACCACTTGGCATCAAGCATAATCTGCCTGACGAATTAGGGCAGCATTTTTTCGCCGATACTGAAAGCAGGGCATAGGAAAGTGGGCTCCTGATTTACCTAGGGTGGGGTTCAATGTAGAACTGTGGGTCAAAGGTCATGCGGATGGCCTGACCGGCAGGGGCTGTGACAATCCAAATGCACTCCACGCTCTGCGGATAGTTGGAGGGGTAGTTAGGAGACATGATGTCGGTACTCGGCAACACGTCGGACAGACTGACTGCTCCCCCACATCCTGCAAAACAGAGAAAACATCAAAGACATTTTCAAACAATATCATATGCCACATCCACAAACCTTTACAAGCTGGACTTTGCAAAGATTGACCCTCAGTGGACATTTATCCAGGATCTGACTGTCATTTCTTACCGCATCATCAAATTTTTTGCACTAAAAAAAGACCATGTCGTGGAGCGATATTTACTACGACACTCGGATGTGGTGCATCAGTGATTGCGAGCTCCAATCATGTTCAAACCTCCTGCGACTAGTTTGAGGTACTGTGTGTGCACCAACACAGAGGCAATTACATAACAGCAGGGATGGTTATAGATGAATTATTATTATTATGATATATTTCTAGTGACACCAAGGATTCCTCAAAAGCGCCCTAGGCATTGTAGCTCACAAGCCTGAAGAAACCTGTAGAGAGGAGACAGTGAGAAGCAGTTACAGTTTTGGAGGTGGGAAGAAAACCCCAGAGGAATATTCTGGGTAAAACCCACGGAATCAGGTAGGGACTGAAAACCCAATCCACATGTGGACCGGGCCAGGATTCGAACCCGGGCCTCAGAGGTGGAAGGCGAGGAAAGAACCACTACGCCAACCTGACTCCCCAATTACTGTGACATGGCGCAATATCCTTCCTGTGCAAATGGCACATTAAATCCTTGTGTTTATCATTTGGAGTGAAGTGGCAAACAAGCTATTTCTTGATTTCAAATCAATAAATGAAACAAGCTGAATAAATTTAGGTGATGCACACTACCTGAAGCTGCCAGTGGCAGTAGAAATGGAGAAGAAAGAAAGGACCAAGTAAGAAAGTGCCATGTGGATCTTAATACATATTAGGTACAAACTCCCTATTTATATTTTCAATTTATCACTCCTAGAATTTAAAGCAGCCTTGAAAACATTCTTGTTTCCTGGTTAATCACTTCAGACTGTGGTAAATGTTTCTCATGTATTTATATTTGTTTGGACCTTTTCAGTAACTATTATAATGTATTTGATGCATTTGTAAATGTGTTTTGTGCCTTGAGCGTTACTTGTCACGGATTTCAGTGCGTCATAAATTCTCATTATTGTTATCATTGATATTATTATTATTCTCAAATGGCCTTGCTTTTATGAACCACCTAACTTGTTCATTCAGACGGAAGGTCTGGTGTTGCCCTTGTTGGGCCTTGTGATGTCTCCACTACGACACTATAGCAACTTGTCTCTCATTTTACCCTGTTGCTGAGCCAAGAAGGAAAAGCTGAATCCGGTGGCTACACCAGAGGCGTCTGAGTGGAACTTGACTCTCAGCAGGTTGCTGCTAGTCTCCATCTGAGCTGGTGCCGTGGAGCCGCAGTAACGACCTGTGGTAGAGCTGCCCAGGGGTGGGGACGTGTCCTCACCGCCATTGTACAGCTGGAGGGGAAGGAAAGGGGTGGGAGAGAATGGGGGAGGTTCAGTTTGTTGCTGATGAGCACTTTGCCCGGGGCATTCAACGATGAATGGATGATTTACCACAGAGTAAAATTCAGCTATTTTTTTCTGCGGGGACAGTGATCATTTCTAATGGTGTCAGAGTACTTCCAGAAGGAACAACTCACCTGAACGTAATCGTTCTGACAGTTGCTGCTGGTGGCAATGTTGAAACTGCTCTGGAATGTGACTTGGATAGTAGAGCCTGTTGTGGCCTGCACCACCCAGACGCAGTCCTGGTTGTTGGGGTAGTTTGAGGGGTAGAGAGGGCTGGTGATGGTGCCAGCCTGGGAGATGATGTTGCCACCGCAATCTGCAGAGAGGAAATCAGCGTCGCAAAGGTGAGATTAGAGGAAATTGAAAAGTCTATGAAATAATCACCAAAGGTTTTGAGAGCACCCCAGCAGTTTAAAGTCTAAGGGATGCGTTTATGTTTTCCAGGAGGCACCCTTAACCATATGCTGCCAGGGGGACCCGGTTTCAGGTATCCTGGGTTTGTACACATAGTCAGGGTGCCTGAAATTGAACAAAAGAGCTCGGCCTTGTAACAAAAGACCGTACTCAGAACAAAAAACCCGCTGCCGGGAATTGCCATCATTTTTCAGTTTGCATTTATCGGAGGTACTCCGTAATTGTTTTCAAACAGTATACCGCTGTTTTCAGTTTCAGCGCGGATAAAAGTGCTCCAGTTCCCCAGCGATGAGCAATACAGTACCCTTGCCAGCTAATCCAGCCGCATTTGAAAAGACGCCACTGGCATTCACTGGGAACAAAGGCAATTACAATTCCGGGCTCTCAATGAATGTTACTTGTCAGTTTAGAGTAGCCACTAAACAGTCATTCATGTGGGTGTAAACGTCCATTAAATGAAATTATGAATTTTTGAAAAATTTTGAAAGTGGAAAATCCTCAAAATAGCCAGTATGCAGGCACTGCTTTTTTAAAAGCACCCAGCAGGATATGGTTAAGTTACCCATTTCTTGTGTTCTATATCAACTATAATTACAAAAAACACTACTGGTAAACTGTGACGGTAAGATTTTGAAAGAAACTGTTTGATACTTCCTGAAATCAGGAAAATCCAGATGAAAAAATCCTGAAATCAGGAAAAATCCTGACAAATCTCAGCCCTGGTGTAAGGCACAATGGCTTTGAAAGCTCCACTGCTCCCACGTCACTTTGTTATGTAATTATTCCTTGGCCAAGTGATTAACTAAGTGATTTGAAGCAGCTTTATATAACAGTCTGGCCTCTGACTACAGGATGCCTAGGTTGAAACCTTGTCTTCACTAATCTGATGGCACACTCCAAGGGCTAGCCAAGGACTTCATTCTGTTCATTATTCTCTACAATCGACGAGAAGCGTCAGTCTTGGTAGAGCTTGACAAATTATCGAAGCAAGTGCATCCCTCGAGCCACTACTGACTCAGGTGCAGAAATTCAAGTTTAGCCTAATACACAAAGTCACAAATGGAAAAATTGGCCTGAATAACATCACGAGGCACAACTACAATTGCAAGATCAAAACCATCACAGGATAAAACATTGGCTTCTCCCCAAATTTCCAGAGCTTTGGGGAGGGTTTCAAAGGGGCAGCACTATGGGATGGTGGCTGGGCGTTGAGTAAACTTACAGGACTGGTATGAAGCTTGGAAGCCGGTGCCGTTGACGGAATTGTCTGAGTGGAAGACGGCGTACATGGTGTTGGACGTGGAGAAAACAGGATTGGGCAAGGGATCCACTCGGCCACAGTGCGTGACCAGGCTGCTGGAGGGGTCAGCGACAGAGCCTGAGGGTAAGGGGAGACAGCAATTATTCAGTGACAAAGCTGCCTCGGGTGAGGACGATTTTATATCTGTGTCTATAAATAAGTTTAATTTGAGTCTGTTTTGCTTCATTCACTCTTAAAGGATATGATTGAAACGTGCATGAAATGGGCCCCAACTGTGATGTGCGTCATCACAAACAGATGTTTTGTGGTAGCTGGTCAAAACCAGGCTTTAACAGTAGTTACAATTCCGATTTTCCCCTTTACGGTGATGCAGTGATTTTGGAAAACACGGGCTGCCCTGGATGAAGTCATGCCAACTGCAAATTTGAGATGCAGCATTTTCAATTTCGAGCATCGGTCATTTTTTTTCCATGTTTATCGTGGTCCAAGATCACTGTGTTTCACACAAAGCATCAGCTACACTTGTGCAAATGATAATCATGTCACAAAGACGATGATTATTAATAGTGAATGAAATGTTTACGCTCTTCCTGATCAATGTGAGGTAAATGAGATCTGAAACCGATCTTGCTGACAGTGTGCATAGAAAGCAAGTATTGGCCAGCTACCATACCATACTTGGGCAGATTCAGCATGACTTGGGACCTTGCCAAACTCACCATCGTACAGCTGGATGTAGTCAAAGAAGCAGGAGGGGTGCGGCTCGAGATTGATGTCGGTGAACTCCAGCCGGACGGTCCGGCCTGGGTCAGCCTCAATCAGCCAGTAGCAGTCCAGATTGTGTCCATAGCCGTTGGGGTAATTAGGTGAGGAGAAGGTCTGGGCGGTGTCCATGGCTGCCAGTACGCCGCCGCATTCTGCAGGGCAGGATCACAAGATGACCTCCGTTCAATTTTCGTGTGACGGAAAGAACCTTTGAACTTGCCAGGTGATACGTTTTCTTAGAGACACTCAGTTTATTCTTCTCTAAAGTGCAAAAGCAGTTTGACACTCTTTTTGGGTTAAGTGTATGAACCATTCACATTTTGTCTGTGCTTTTGCAGACTACAGAGGGCTCTGTTACTGTGATGTCATTCAAGAAAGGAATTTCTCGGTGCACAGGTGTTTCAAACTTTGAACCTAAAATTTAGCCCTGGAAAAATTTTCTGAGAATGGGCTGCTAATTAGCTTATAGACATGTACTCAACCAACAATGCATCACCAAAGAAAAGGTAATGAAAACAGAAAACCGTTACAACTTCAAGCAGTTTTTGAGCACAAATCAATACAACACAGAGGTTTCCTCCATGGAACGACATCAAGGGTTGGTCATGAATACGGAAATGCAAACTGGCATCAAAACAAAAAAACACAATTTCTTTTAAAATAGTAAAACAAAATAGAGCATTATATATAACGGTTTGCCCGTACCCAACGTATATTAA